ATCTGCAAAATTATGATGATGAGTGTTGTGTGTAGTTTGGGGGTTGTGTGTAGTTGAATGTTGTGTGTAGTTTGCTGCAATTAGGCTTAGCAGTTCAGTAGAATGCTCAGTAACAACAGTTGGAGAGGGACCTATTGATATACAGAGTAGGCTGTATCTGGGAGCTATAAGAATGGCAGTAAAGCCTTGATACTTCTGATCAAATCGGTGGTAACACTGGGAGGAGATGGCCTATTTTGCCACATACTGGATACTATCTTGGCTTAAAGTAGCTTCGGCTCTGCCCTGCCATCATGTTGTTTGAAACTGAAAGTGTCCAGCAGAGTGATATGTGTTGGGTGAGTAACCAGTTCTTCCATAATTTGTTCTTTGATAACTGTTCTGTCCAAAGTCAAAATTACTTGCTGTAGGATATGCTGAACCAGGGGTTAGACCAGAGGTTGGAATGTAACATTGGGGTGTGTGAAACTCATGACCAACAGCCTGAGGATGAAATGGGACAAACCATTCTTTGACCAGATGAATTAGTCAGAGGACTAGAGCAAGTGATGTTTTCTTGCTTGCAGGCAAACAGAGCAGAATATTAAATGCTCATGAAAGTTTGACAGAGCTGAGTGTTGTCTCTCCATCTCATTTCATGTTTGTGAGCATGAATTGAGCTTGTTGAATGGTTGCTTACTAACTGGGATAGTAATAATCACCACACCGCATCATACTCTGGTTCTAAACCATCCAGTAGAACAAAAGCAACTCTTCTTCTCCAATATTAACACCACTTGCTACTAACTCATCCCCTAATTCCTTCATTTTCAGGACATACTCATTAATACTTAAAGAGTCCTTCTTTGTGGTCTGTAACATATTCCTTAAGTGAAGTGTTCTAGCTTTCGAAATTGATTGAAAATGCAATTCTAGTGTGTTCCATATTTCAAACGCACTAACACATTTGGCTACATGTCTGAACATAGATTCAGAAATTGAAGAAAATAGATAACTGACTAAAAATTGATCTGTTCTTTTCCAATTAAGATACTTAGGGTTTTGTTTCTTCACTAATTCATCAGTTGTAACAAGTTTTTCAAAAAGAAACATAGAAGGACAGATGCTCTCATCGGTGATAAAGCTTTCAAGACCGTGAGAGGCTAGGGCTGGAAAAACTTGTGATCGCCAGTGACTATAATTCTTCTCCACAAGTTTCACTGATATGGTTGGAAGCGTGGAGTGAACAGCTGAGTTATTTGCGTTTGCATTTTCAGCTGATTCAACTTCAGATTTTGACGAAACATTGAAGAACTCAGGATTCGAAGCCATTGACACTTGTCTACAGCTCTGATACCATGAAGGATTAATAGCTGAATTGAAAAGAAAACTGAAGCAATGAACGAATCAAGAGAGAAAAGAAAAAGGGAAAAAAATCTGTTTAAAGTGTTCTGTTATTGAAAATTGGTAAAGCAGATCAGTTACAGATGACTTTATATAGTCTGTTACAACTTTTGTTTCTTTACAAAAACAACCCTACTCAACTTCTAATCTTTGCAAAAACAACCCTGCTTCTTATACTTATTCCAATAGTCCCAAAAGTTGGCGGTGATGAGATATATCAAGAGATAAATGAAGAAGAACAACTTCTTTATGGGGTTTCAACATTCGATCCTTTTGCAACCGAGCTATGTACGTCTACCAACTCAAACAATGAAGCCGAAAAGAAGAGTGAGATTGGAGATCATGTAAATGGAAGCGAATCAAAAGTAATTGTAAAAGGTTATGAAAATTCAAACATGAGAGATGTGGATAGTTTACATGCATTTCTTCCATCTGATATGGAGCTTGCTGAGTTTGCAACTGTTGTACAAAGTTTGTTGGGATGGGGTTTTGAGAATGAGTCGTTCGCCATGGAAGAGTTGCGGTTGATGGATTACAAAGAGAGATTTGAAAGATGAATGAACAATGAAGCTCAAAGATGAATGAAGGAGAATGAATTTGATTTTGTTTTAACGGACCGGTTTTTCATCCCGATAATGAATCAAAGCGTGAATACAATGAATTTGACTTTTTGCATTTACTCTCACATCATTTTGTATAAATCTTTTGTCATATCATTTTGTATAAATTTCTTAGTATCTCTAACATTATTGTTAAAAATACCATCAATAACCATAAATTTTCAACAAAGAATCCATTGTTAAAATCTTAAGATGAAAAGTGAACCAATAAATAATAGTTTATTTGAATATAAAAAAAAAAAAAAAGGATATTTTTAGAAATATAGCCAATTTATATAGGCACCCGCAGAACTTTTCCAAAGAATAAAGGTACATGTAAGAAATCTTATTATCTTGATGAGGCATTCAAGGGCTGGCCTGAGAAGGTGAAGCATGCACTTCATGAGCATGAGCTTGTGCGCACTGAACGTACTATTTGTATCTGTGATGGATGTGATGAAGAAGGAAATCTCTGGTCATTCAACTGTGAAGAGTGTGACTTCGATCTCCATCTCAAATTTGCTTTGGAAGAGGATAAAGAAACCAAAGATGATGATGCCAAGGAAGAAAAACCCAACAAAGAAGAACGGATCTGTGATGGGGATGTCTGTCACAAGGCTTGAAATATTTGCCTTTTTGTGCTGACAAGAATATGGGTCTTTTTGTCCATGGACTCTCTTTGTTGTGTATGTCTTTTTATTAAAGAGTGATGTCTATTTGGCTATTAATAAACTTTAGTGATTAACTTAATAAGTAAATGATGTCCGACTTAGAATTATTAAATCGAATTTCATGAAACCTCTGGCTATGTATGGTAAAAGTTTCAATAAAACAGAATTAATTTATTTTATAATCAAAATTGTTAGATAATTACTTTTAAATTTAGTTTATCAAACACTCTTTAGGTTATTGATTAATAAATAAATAATTACTCTTTTTAAGTTATTCAATAAAACAAAATTCATTTATCATATGCATATACACTAATGCGCATAGTAAAATTCGGTTGGTTGTCATACAAGAAAAACTCTCCGCCTTTCTCTTTTAACCCTTGAAAATAATAACAGAGTGAAATAGGGACTGTTATTTATAGTCATAGTTTGTAATGCATCTGAGACTATATCAACTGTTTAAAGTACAATTGTTCCCTGGCAGTGGCACTTCAATTTTGTAAATTTTCTTCTAAGAACAAATCTTCTCCTTCGATAAGCATTTTGGCTTCCCTTCAAAGAACAACCAAGCTGAATGCATCTGGATCAACACCACCAAACTCCCAATATTTTCCTCTCATATGCAATGTCACAGAGTAAATTCACATGCTTATTGTCACAAAGAAACAGAGCATACATGAGTAACAACCAAAATACTTGCATACGAGCTATCTTAAAATCCCACAGCCAAATCGAATTTTGTTCATGAAGTTATCTAAAATAATCTAAGATATGGATAGGCAACATTGTCATCTAGAGAGCCTCTGAACTATGTAGCCAATTTTTAGCCCTTCAGCATTTCTTCTTAGGTTGAAAAACGAATCATAGGGTGACAAATTGTTAGATCGTTTAGCTATCAGTTTAAATTTGCGTACATCTTGTTAGATCTTGTATTAACATGAAAACTATCAGAAAACAGAGGAACCAAAAGAATTTGTATGGGATAATTATAAAATGCAGGAAATAGAGAGAAAAGTGTCTTTTAACTCACAATTTCTTTCCAACTTACAATCACTGATTTTTCACTAATAGAGAAGGCCAACGTATTAGCCATCGGAAACAACGTTTAAGTGCAAGAAGTCGGCAAAGTTTCACCCGAACTTTGATCGTGCCAACAGCGTCAGCAAACTCGTCTTTAGCGATGTCAGCCTTTCACCGGCTGCTGCTGATGTTTGGCCACATCACCAGTCAAGATTTTAATTTTTGCAATTGATATTTTCAAAAGGCCAAAAATTACAAAAATCTACTATAAAAACCATTTAGTAAAATAAATTTTTCATAATCTACCTCTTACACTTTTGGGTTTGTAGCTTAAGAAACAATTAAAGCTATAAAAACCTTAAACAGTTTAATCACAAATTTGTTAGAGAAAAATTATATGAAAATTTCTCCAATTATTTTAGATTACAATAAACGAATTTCATATTTTTGTTATGCAACGGAAACATAAACTCTAACGCTAGCTTATTGAATATAATAATACAAGTAGTAAAGCATAAATAAATTGTCAAAATTAAATGCAAAAATAAAGAATACCAGGAATTAACGAGGTTCAGTATTAAAACCTACGTCCTCGGGCGCTGCAAAAGAAAACTCCACTATCTCCAAACAATATTACAAATATTTGGGCAATACAACAAATACCCAAAACAAAGGGGAGATACAACAAAACTTGCAAACTAAAGGGTCCTTAAAGAAAGAACCCTAAACAAAAGAAGTATAATGGAATTACAACTTGGGATACAATTAACATTGATTTAGGTCCTTATATATAGGCCCCAAAAGTTTCCCACTTTNCAATATTACAAATATTTGGGCAATACAACAAATACCCAAAACAAAGGGGAGATACAACAAAACTTGCAAACTAAAGGGTCCTTAAAGAAAGAACCCTAAACAAAAGAAGTATAATGGAATTACAACTTGGGATACAAATAACATTGATTTAGGTCCTTATATATAGGCCCCAAAAGTTTCCCACTTTTCATTCCTTTTCAATGTGGGACAAACTAACTCATTTTGGCCTACATATAAGTCCCTAAACCTTTCTTCATTATCACTTCTACCCCATTTGATTTTGCTAAAAGCCATTTTTCAACAATTTTATAATTAAACAACTTTGATTGGAAAGAAACTATAAAGAGAAACTCGTGAAGTGAGGAGAAGGAAAGTAGTGTCCATGATGTGCTACTTCAAAGTTTGAACAAGCCAAGCAAACTGAAAATACATCCAAACCAGCAAAACAACAACATTACATGACAAGCAACAGCAGAAAGCAATTCATAACATGTCTTTGCTCACAATATATATATAAGTCGGAAATAGAGCGAGAACTTTCTTCAATTAACGATGTCTGTAGAACTCTTCCACCAGTGGTTTCTCAGTCTTGATTCTTCCTCCAAGTCATCCAATGTTGGCCATACAAATTGAGAGTGTTTAACAAGCCAAGCAAACTACAAATTTATTTAAACCAGCAAACCAACAACATTACATAACAAGCATATACAATGTCTGTAGAACTTTCCGTCACTGGTTTCTCAGTCTTGATTCTTCCTCCGAATCATTCAATGATTTTTAGACGAACTGGGAATGATTGTTGAGATGAACTGGGCAAGTTTTTCAAATTGTAACATTGGCTGACAAAAGCATAACGTAGTAAAGGCATATCTCTCTCCACATTCTGCCAGTCCAGGTCTAAGCTTTTCATGACACTTAAATGTAGACCCTTGAGGGCCCATGTGGAGCCGCTGCGATCCTCGCTTTCATGCGTAGGATTCTTTCGGAGACGGACGACGTTCCCATCCTCAAGACAAAGATATTGCAAACTCGAAAGTTGATCAGGATTGATCCATTTGGGGAGAATTTCATGACTGTAGCGCTTAAGATAAAGCTCCTCAAGTTTTGGAGGAGGGGAAATCAGATCAAGCATCTTAGATACACTTTCTTCTGTACAATTTTCTGCATCAATGGCTAAGACTGTTAGTTTCTCGAGCTTTGATAGCACGTTCAGTTCATCTTCTGAGATTTCAGTCTCAGCATTTATATTCATTCGAAGAACCCTTAGCTGCTTCAGGTTCTGCAGCTCAAGAAAGCGACAGCTTAGTTTGTTAGCCTTTCCAAACACTCTAAATCCAGATAGTTCTTGGAGATGGATTAGCTTCCCTAGTCCATTTGGGATGTATTGCAGTTTATATGATCCTACATCCAAGACAATCAACTTCTTTAAATTTGTAATTGATGGATGTAGTTCACTTAAATTACTGCAATTCCTCATAATCAAAATTTGGAGGTTCCGAAGCTTTCGAATAAAACGTGGCACATCCTTTAGGGTTGCTCCGCTCAAGTTGTGACATGCTAGGCGTTTAAGGGAACAAATCCACTTCCAGAGGTCTTCCACTTGATTTTCATCTAGCTTATTGTTAGAAAGATCCAACACCTGTAGCGACTTGGGCAACTTCACATCCCTACCAAAGGAAATTCGATTATTAGACATCATTAACAATGCCCTCAAATTTGAAGTCTCTTTCAATAGGTTTGGATCCATATCACTCATGAAACCCAACCATCGATCAGAATCTGTCGGTTCCTGTTTGCCTTGTTCATCAAAATTGAAAAATCCCTCATCTTTAGAGATCTTAATGGTCATATCCCTAATCAGATCGTGCATCTTGCAACTATAGACCCTCCCATCATAGCATCGTAGATTCTCGACGTCAATCAAGCATCTACTGACTAGCTCAGAAAGATATTCATATCCCAATTCAGTATGTAATACCCCGTATTTTTTTTAATGGAGTTTTATTAAATTTTATTTTGTGATTCTGGAGTAAAGTGTAATAATTTGAAAGTTTTGGGGAGTACAAGGTGATAGTCGAAATAAGTGAGGATTAAATTGAAATTTTCCAGATATTTTGATGAACAGTGATCATTCAATGAAAAGAAAAACGGGGAAGAAGAAGAAAAGAAAAGAGAGAAAAGGAAGAAAGAAAAGAGAGAAGAGAGAAAGAAGAAGAAGAGAAGGAGAGGAAGAAGGAAAGAAAGAAAAGAAAAAGATGGGAGAGAAAGATGAAACCAAGAATAGAGGGAGAGAGGAGATAGGAGACCGACGGAGGTGGCTGCAAAAGGGGCCGCCGGCGAGCAAAACTCCGGTGATCGGAGAGTGGGAGGAAGATCGAGCAAATGGGGTTAGTAAAGCTTGATATTTCTTTTTGGTGATTTATGATTCAGAACTCTCTTTGATTGTTTTGTTATGATTTGGTATAAATTCATGAAAACAAAACTAAAATAGGGAGATTTATTTTAATAATTTGGTGTGGGTAGAACATAGAGGTTGTTTTCTAAACAAAAATGGGTTAAAGATATGATTTTGAGTAAGGGTTTATTGTACAGAAATCTGACCATCTAGAACTTCGAAAATTGTTTGTAGTTTTGGGTTTTTGTTGAAGCCAATTTGGATATGGTGTTGTAGACTTCTGAGGAGTGTTTAGAAATTTATTCACTTAAAAATTCGAAGGATTGAATTTTATATGGATTTTTGAAGTTGCCTGTGATCCTGGAATTTTCGTTTCTGCAGAACATGTTTTGGAAAATGATTTGATGCATCTATTCTTATCCAAATTGAGTGTATTTAAATTCTGGTGAATCTATGTGTGTAGTTTAATCTGGAGAGTTTCATGAGGTTTGGATTAAGGGCTGAATTGTTATGTATTTTTCAAGTCAGTACCTCAATTTTGGAAACAGGGGACAGATTTGAATGAGTGAAAGGAAATTGTGTTTTAAATAGTTATTTATTCTGGAATGACTTGAGAAAATTATGGAACAACTTATGTGTCTTAGAACGCTCTGTAAAATTATGGCTTAAAAATGATAATAGAATTTTTAAAAAATCTGAGAGCGACGATGTTCGATTATGAGGAGTTTTGTTAAAGCAGAAGTGTGTTAATCTTTGGTGTGTGAAGTGTCCAATGATTTTAATATTGAGGCGTTACCTTATGGGGACTTATGTGGAGGATTTATTGAATTTGTACATAGGGAGGCAAGCGTGGGCAATTAGAAATTCAGTCATTTTTCGGCTTAAGGGTCGAGCTTCAAACGGTGAGTGGTTAATAAAAACTTTCCTTAAAAATTTCAGATCTATGCTTGTATGATATTTTCTAGTATGCCATTTTTATATATTTTGGTGAGGTTTAAGCCAAATGTGAAGCTGCTTGGTTTATTTCTTCTTTGCATGTTTTCGGACAAATTCTAGAATGGTTGTTTTGAGTTTTAAAGGGAATTGCTTGCTAATTAAACTGCATACATTTGGCTGTTTCATAAAAGAGATGGTGGTTAGATATTTTGGGTTGCATGCACTCAGCTGGATTGCATTTTGAGAGGTGCTTGAGTTATGTAGTTGGACTAAAAGTTGGTTGGTTAAATACACTTGTATGCTTCCAGTTGGACTGTCTTTGAGAAAATTGATTTCCAGGTGTTTTAAAATGCTGGAGGTTAAGGCATTTTGGCTGTTAAAATGTTAAAGAAAAGACTCAGATTTGTGAGGTTAGTAATAATTCTCAATCTGGGTTAACAATCAGTTTCTGAAACATGTTTAGAAAATTGTAGTTTCACCCTTATATGTGACTTTTGAATATATGTCAATATGTATGATTTATAAGCCATACGAAATATGCTATTGACTTACATGTTACTTGAGACTATGCATGAGTATGCTGTGGTGCTAAAACCACCTACGAAGTACCCATCCCCCAGAGTACAGATTTTGGCTTTGCCTGGGCGTTGAGTGGTCCGCAGGTATGACAGTTTCAGTGGCTCTGCCGTGCGATGATAGATCTTGCCGGGTATGATAGATTTTATTGGTTCTGCGGGCGTGAGTGGTCGCCGGGTATGACAGATTTTATTGGCTCTGCCTGGGGTTGTGGTGGTCCGCCATGTATGACAGTTTCAGTGGCTCTGCCGTGCAATGATAGATCTTACCGGGTTAGACGATTTATTGGCTCTACCTGGGCGTTGAGTGGTCCGCCAGGTATGACAGATTTTATTGGCCTTGCCTGGGGTTGAGTGGTCCGCCAGGTATGACAGTTTCAGTGGCTCTGCCGTGCGATGATAGATCTTGCCGGATATGACAGATTTTATTGGCTCGCCTGGGCGTTGAGTGGTCCGCCAGGTATGACAGTTTCAGTGGCTCTGCCACGCGATGATAGATCTTGCCGGGTATGACAGGTACGTCCCTCGCTCTGCCTGGTGGGGAGCCCACCAGTATGACAGATTTTCCCCAGGGTATAGTTGGGTGAGAGTTTTCACATGTGATTGAGAGATAGTTTGGATATGTATATCATTTATTTGAAAATGGGAACTAAAATGTAAATGTTATTCGTATATGAACTGTTTTTAGAAATGATGTTTAGAGAAACATGAGTATTTATTTGTTTATCATAATAGTGTTCAGAAAGAAGTCTTGCCATGAGAGATTTCAGCATGTGTATGAAAGATGGCTTATATTATAAAGTGTATACGGAAATGAAATTTATAAGCATGGGGTGTTTTATGTGATATGAAAGTTTTATTAATACTAACCCATTCCCCACTCACTGAGCATTTCTAGCTCACCCTCATTTTCAAATGTTTTTCTTCCCCCCACCAGGTCAGAAGGTGATCGTGTAGAGGAGTGAAATTCACTCAAGTTTGGGCCACACGACTCATTTCACCATGATCTATAGTTGTATTTTGTTTGCCGCTGCAAAGTTTATGTCTTTCATCATGTATTTATTTCTTTTGGATTATTAAAATATAGAAAATCTGATACCATAAATTTCATTTTGTGAAAATTCCAATTGCATTTGTTATATGCAAATGACGTTACATTTTTAGATATTTATTTATAAACAGGTTTTAAGTTTTCTCACATGGCACGTCTCGATACACTGAGTCTCATGGGTGCGCCGGAGCCTATGGGATAAGGGGGGTCGGGAGGGTCGTGTCACAGTAGCATCGTGTGTTGTTGCCTTGGATGAGACCCTCTCCAGCCCACCAAGTACTAACTGTTAGCTTGTATCTCTGTGAAACCCCGTTTTTAATCCTAATACAATTGCGTATTCTGTGTGATTTTATTTTATGGAAGGGGATTTGTTAGTTTTTAAAAGTTTATTGGGGATGAAATGGCAAGAAAAGGAAGCTGCTGGGTTTGCATGTCACAAGGGGCAAAATTGGAGGTTTATTTGAAAGAAAGCGTGATGTGGTAGGGGTTTAGGGTGATACTGTTCTAGGGGCAGAAGCATAAATAGAAAGATTAAAAATATATAAAAAAAAAAAAAAAAAAAAGAAGAGAGAAAAAAAAAGTTGTTCGCCCAAAGGAGAAGAAGCCGAGACAGAAGAAGACCTAGACAGGTGAGAGAAGGAGAGAGAAAAGAGGAAGGAGAGCGGAAGAGGAAGAAGAGAAAGAAGAAAGAGGTGTTTCGGTCTAGAGATAGAGTGAGAGAGGAAGAGTGAAGCAAAGATGGAGGATGAGAATTATGAGATATTGACGCAGATCCCACCATTTTTTATTTTAGGTGTGGAGGAAGAGAGTGCTTGAGGTTTCCTTTCAAAGTTTCGGTTGAGCTAAAAAAATGGTGAGTGGATTCAACCTGTATTCTTTTCAAACTTAATGAAAGCTTTGCATGTTAAATTTTATAATGCTATTTCAATGATTGAAGTAATTTTGGGTAAGTGTGATTATTTGGTGAATCTTGCTTTGCATGTTTCGGCTGACCTAATCTTTTGGTGAAAATGCATTAGACCTCGTTCCCAGGGTTGAGTTTTCATGTTGCATGCTATTTAAATATATGTATAACCATAAAGGGGGTTACTGGAGAGATGGTTAATATTATTGCTTGAAGAGTGGTTGAAGGAAGGGTTAGACCTGTCAGAATAGTCAAAAATGTAAGTTGCATGTTGCCATTATTGATTATCGGTAATCACCTATAAAATTACATGTGATTTTTCCTTAGTTTATTTAATTTAAATCGCTTCTCCATCATGTTGATTTCGATATGCCATTGGTGGATTTTCCTCAATTTGGAAAATATATTAAAATTGGAAATGTTGATTTCATGGGTGGTGACAGTTGTTGCTGTTGAAATGGTATTGAAGGAAAAATGTAAATGAGTTGAAAAAGAATTGTGTTTAAATAGTTATTGATTCTGAAATGACTTGAAAATATTACGGATCAACATATATTGTCTTGAAGCCCCATTGAAATATAGCTTGATTTGGTGAGTGGATTAAACCAAATCTTCTTCCAATCCTTAAATCCATGCTTGCATGTTAAATTGTGATTTTATTAAATGTTTTGATGAAGTTTGGTATATAGAATTTATATGTATTCATGCTATATGAATAAATGTTGCTGGTGAGAGTAAAGAATTGGTTGAATTGTATACGGGTTGAGGATCGTGTGTGGTAGATGGTTTCTTGGTAAAAAGAAAAAGAGAGGGTGCATTCTATCAGTTTTGAAAGTATGTTAAACTTGCATTCTACCCCCATTTTGCATGGAATTTCATACGATTTGGCATGATTTACTTTTATAAATGTGGTATATATCCTATGATTAGTGATGGACATATGCTATGGAAATGTGATATTGAAAGTAATTTTTAATCTGGGTTAAACTGTCAGTTTTAAAACATGTTTGGAAATTTTCAGTTTCAACCCTGGATGTGATTTTTGAATATTATGTCATATGCATGATTATAAGCACATATGTGGTATGTCTTGACTTAAATGTGTAGTTGAGATTATGCATGAGATTGTTATGGTGCTAAAACCACCCTACGAAGGACATCCCCCAGTTTTCAGGCTCTGCCACGCGATGCAGGATTCCGCTGGGTATGAGATATTTGGTCTCAGGCTCTGCCCACGCGATGCAGGATTCCGTTGGGTATTGAGATAATTGGTCTTCAGGCTCCGCGAGCGTATTGAGATATTTAGTGCTCTGCTGGACGTGAGTGGTCCGCAGGTATAACAGATTTATTGGCTCTGCCTGGACGTTGAGTGGTCTGCCAGGTATGACAGATTTTATGGCTCTGCTGGACGTTGAGTGGTCCGCAGTTGACAGATTTTATGGTCTGCCTGGGCGTGAGTGGTCTTTTTTTTTTCGCATTCTCGTTTTTCATGCTCATGCTTCCGTGTGCGTTATTTGTTTTGTTACGAAAATTTTTTTGTTGTTTTTTCTGTTACGCAGGTAAGACAGTTTCAGTGGCTCTGCCCGTGCGATGATAGATCTTGCCGGGTATGACAGATTTTATTGGCTCTGCCTGGACGTTGAGTGGTCCGCCAGGTATGACAGATTTTATTGGCTCTGCCTGGGCGTTGAGTGGTCCGCCAGGTATGACAGTTTCAGTGGCTCTGCCCGTGCGATGATAGATCTTGCCGGGTATGACAGATTTTATTGGCTCTGCCTGGGCGTTGAGTGGTCCGCCAGGTATGACAGATTTTTCCCCCAGGGTACTAGTTGCGGTGAGGGTTTTCTGTTATTAATATCATAATCAGTTTTAGAATGTTCAAAATCACATTCAGTTCTGAGTATCAGTTATGAGCGATAGTCTCAATATGAGTTTTCAAAATGTTAAGAGAGCCTTCAATATTAGCCACAGTTTTAAAATAAGATATCAGCTTATAGTTTTCAGTATCAGTGAAAGTTACAGTATCCAATTTAAAGTTCAGTCATCAGCACAAAGTTTACAGTATTCCAAAATCAGTTATCAATTTTATATCATCACAATAGTTATAAATTTAGTTACCAGATTTTGTCTTGTGAATCATGAGTGTTCATTGAATGATGGTTTGGATGTTTACAGCATGACTAGTAGAGTTGTTATTTCAGAATCACATGCATGAGAACCTTTAGTATCAGTTTACTGTTTCCAAACAGGATATCGGTTTAAAGTTTTCAGATACCAGCCTGCAGTTTTCAGTATCAGTTAATAGTTCAGTTTTCAGTATATGATGGATAGTTTGCATTAGCTATATGAAACAGTTGATGTTTGTAGCATGATTCATAGAAAACATTGTCTTTAGAACCATGAGCATTTACAGCTATTCTTTAAGTTCTCATAAAAGAGTTTTCAATATTTGGTGATGAGCTAGGATTCAGAAATTGTTGTCAGTTTAATTGATCATATTATAATACTTAGAACAACTTTAGAAAACGAGTTATACATGCATACAGGATGATTAGCTACCACCATATCATGTTCATAGAATCATGTTGTTTTCAGGATTTCATAAGAACTATTGCATGCCATGACTATTGTTGAAGAATGTTTTGCAAACTCACCGCAATCCCCCACTCACTGAGTATTTCAGCTCACCCCTTTTTAGACCCTTTTTCCCAGGTTCACAGGAAGAGTCGTGCTGAGGAGTGATTCCTCTCGAGGTTGGGCCCTTACGTCACCAACTCATCATGTGTGTAAAAATGTCATGCTTGTTACCGCTACCGAATTATGTTTTATCCTTATGATTATCTCTTGTGTTGATTATAAAAGATATGAATATCTGATACCATCCGTTTTTGGATTTTATGAACGTACAAGTTAGCTTTCAGATTTTCAAAATCTTATGTGTTTATGCTTTCAAAACGAGTCCAAGCAAATGTCTTTATGAAAAACTTATTTAGAGTACCGGTTTTTTTTTAGATTCCCACACGGCACGTGTCGGCCGCCCGAGTCTCATAGGTGCGCCCGGAGCTTATGGGGTAGGGAGGGTCGAGGCGGGTCGTGTCAATCTCAATGTCTTCAGGATAAATGGAGAAACACAATAGACATTGCTTTAGATGAGTAGGAAGTTCATCATAGCTTAGCTGCAGAGAAGGCATGATCGAGTTGTTTTCTTCTTCAGCTAATTTGAGAAAATCTTGATGAATCTTGTTCCATTCAGTAAGGGAGTCAAGTTTTGGCGCAAGTAAGGCTCCTATTGTCTTGATTGCTAGCGGGAGTCCCTTACATTTATGCAAAATTTCTCTGCCTTCTTTTTCCAAGTGGTTATTTGGGCATTTTCCATTGCTTCTGTCAAATGCAAACTTGCAGAATAACGACCAACTCTCTTCTTCATCTAAGAGTCTGGGTCGATGAATTCTTGAGTTGTCAACTCCCATGAGCTTTATAACAGCTTCATTTCTGGATATAATGATATAGATACTATGTTTATTACATAAACTACTCCAAAACTTTGTTTCCATCCTCCAAACGTCATCCATAACAATTAGGCTTTTTTTTGTACCAAGTTTTTCGCGAATTTTGCGCAATAGACAACCTTCATCAAATCTAGAGCCTTCCTCTCCTAATTGTTTCAGCATGACCCTCATAATCCTTTCTGTAGAGAAATTGTTAGAAACTGGAACCCAAATCGTCTCATCAAAATACTTGATTACATCTCTGTCATTGAATATTTCCTGGGCAATTGTAGTTTTGCCTAAACCTCCCATCCCTACAATGCCAAACTGACGATGTCGTTGATCAGTGAACAGCCAATTTTTTATCTTTTTTATATCATTTTGCAAACCAATAGGCTCAGATGGGTCATAATCCTGTGCCCCTGGGAAATATCTTTTATTTTGGTATGCTTCATATCCTCCATTGATTAGCCCCTTTGATCTCCAAGGATACGCCTGCAAGGAACGCTCTATACTTTCAATCCGTAAATTAATACCTTTCAATTTCTTTCCTGTCCTTATTAAAAAATACAATTCACGAGATGAGAATCTCCAGTTGCAGGCTGATGATCCATCATATTCCGATATTCACCTCTAATTTGGCAGTCTGTCAGTATATCATCAGCTTCATAAATTAGTTTTCTCATATTCAGCAACACCATCTTGAGATCATTCCCATTACTCCCAAGGTTTTCCGCGGACAAGAAGGCCCTCATAAGTTCAAGCTTAGTCCTCATTACTTCAAATTGATCTTTAAAATCAATTGCATTCTGAGCTTGAACTTGTAATGCACGTAACACTGAATTTAATAAGACAGTAATCATCGCTTCTGTTGCCATCGTCTTGCTTGTATTTTATCTGTGAATTGATTTTCAAAGTCATGATATAGTAAATAAACTCTCAACAGACAGAATTAGTTGAATATAATCACTTCTCTATATAAATATATACTTTCACAGGAAAGGTATATATTAAAGTTAAATCAGTTCACATTCCACTGTTGTGTACTCTATATTAGGTATTAAAAAGATATCACCCTCTTTGGTCTTCACTGTTACCATGGCCCATTAAATCGAACGGTGAAACGGAACTTGGATTATTTCAGACCCAGCAAATAGCCAATGATGCCTACGAGGCTACGAGGAAGAGAAATTCATGGCTACTTAATAATAACATCTGAGCTTTCAAAAATAAGAGAATGCTGTTTGTTCGATGGGAATGATTTTGTCTGGGAATTTATGATGTTTGGAGGTCATGCTGGATCTGGCTTGCGTGCTGCAGTTCTAAGTCAGGATTAAATAAGGGATTTGTGACTTATTGAGAGTGGTATTTCACTCTTTATGCGGAACGTAACATAACTTGAATTAAAAGTAGCTTTAGTTTAGTGCAAAAATGGGAGGTACATGGCTGCATGCAGTGGCTTTGTTTCTAACTTAATAACTCAGAATTTTTTCGTTCTTTTTCTTTTTGCGTTTCGAATCGAAAATTATTGAGTTTGTGTAATAGACAGTATATCTTGTTTGTCCCACAGGATTTATTTAACTAGAGCTTTAGATGATGATTAGAGGTCGAGAAGTTGCTGGGATCAAAGCTTGTTTAGAACTTGAAGTTGCTGGAATGAGTTGTTAAACTTGGAATTTGCTGGAAACAAGCGAAAGATAGAAGGGATGAGAATTTTTTTTTTTTTATTTTGAAAAATACATGTGGGATTTTGTAAAATATGATTTTTGTTTGATGATGGATTTGATTGACATAAGGAATTGATATAAATTGTTTTTTTTTTTTTTTTTGGTACATTTTTTATATTTACAATTTAAGACCACATAAGATAAAACATTGCTTGGGATATTACTTGCAATGTGTAACATTATTCTACAATTATATATAAATTATACTATCTAACAAATACATTCAATTTAATGAATTAGAATTCAATCACACCAAAAGAAAGACTAAACCCCCCCAAACCCACCACCCCCCCCCCCCCCCCCCGCCCCCCCCGCCCTAACTGCATAGTATATCTTTGTACAGCTTTTTTCTTACCCAAAAGAATAATGTTTTTATTTTTTAAACTAATTGCATTTCTATTTTGATATGATTTCTTAAATAAATAGAAACTCAAACACACAAGAAAATCACAAAAAGAAAAAGAAAATTCTCTACAAATGTCTATTTTATTGGACATTTTATTTTGAGCACACTGATTATGCTTTTAATATTCCACAATTTTAATTCTTTATATATTTATTTATTACCTATAGTTGTGTACGGGTGTTTATTATTCTAAGCTTATGTTATTATATCCATTCCTTTGAGGGATTGTTGAGTATTAAGTAGATCCATGATTTACATATATTCAATAACCTTTTACAAGCCATTGCTTTCTAATTTTTTTTTCTCTCCACTCTTGATCTCCTCTATGTTCTTTCTTTCCCATCTCTTCTTCCTCTTCCTCAATCTTTTTACTTTCTAGATCTAACAATTATAATGGTAAAGCATTAGTTATGGTTGCTGGCTGCGACAGGAGACTCGTAGCTATGCTTTGCAGTGCTGCTCCGTGCCAAGGGTGGACTTGTCTCCCTTATGTTTCTGTTTAATTGACTTTGTTTTTAATGAGTTTCAATTACTACTGCATTTGATTTAATTGTTTGTACAAAATAAAAATGTTAGTTTGTTCTTGAGTTAAATTGTTCATTTAGAGATGAAATTTTATGATGAAATATGAAGCAGAATGTAGAAAATATTTAGAGAGGGAATTTTCCCTGAGAAATAAGAGAAAATTAAAAAAAAAAAAAAGGAGGAAAAAGAAATTAAATTTTTAACTTGATAATTGGTGCAAAAGGGTAAAATAGACTTTTACTTTTAAAATTGAATATTAAAAAATTATTTGGAAGAAAACCTAATTTTTAACTGACATCAGGGGGTTGTTTAATACTTTTCATAAATCATGGGTCTGTTAATACTTGACGATCTCTGGGGGGCTGAATAATAACCCTTCTAAGCTTTGATGCTTCTCTACCAAGTCTAAACTCTTCTTCTCGTATTAGATAGTAAAAGCACTGTTAATTCAGAGTTCTAATGGAGTTGGCTGATAGTAATTAGATAGAATTCTTGTCCTTTTAATAATCAAGTAAATTGTTTACATAATATAAAAAATGAAAGAGAAAATCTTTGTTATTTGTGTAATCCTATAACCATATATAACTTTGAGAATCAAGAGTAACATCAGAATTGCTTATTTATTTGTTATTTTTTTCTTCTTAAGGGTATTTATGTTTAGAATCTGTAATATTAACGGTGTGTTTCCACTGATATTTCCTACACTGAATGTCCATATGAAGAAATTACTGGATTAGTATATTTTCTCTTCAGCTTCTTACCATACATCTCAGATATATATATAATAAAATGGTAAAGTAACCAACAGATTTGCTTCTCACTTGCTTAAATATAAATAATCTTTATGTTTGAACAATACACTTCTTAAGTGAGCTTAACCTTAACTTGTGAGAAGAATATCATGACTTATTTTGATAGATAGATAACCTTAACAACTTTTGAGCTGTTTTCAGAGATCATTCCACACCCACATAAAAGAAATTAGTTAGAGATATTAAGAACGTACCGAAATTTTGCAAGTAGAACCTTGATCGAGTGTGTGCCAACTTTCGGTCTTGAGAACAGACAGATCTGGATCGTAGGTATCTGGTGAACACAGAAAACTTCGATGGATTTAACTCATGGAAATAGATGATAGGGATGTTAAAAAAGGGGAAGAAAAGTTTAGGATTTACTTCGGAGAAATGGAGTTGTGATTTTGTGGACGAAGCGCAGCTTGATCTACAAGTGAACTCTGCACAGAAGGACAGAAAAAATAAAATAGGATGACTTCCAATTAGTAATTCAAATAGAAATTCCAAATAGGAAATTTAATCCGACAATTTTTTGGAATTTCCAAAAACTGTTACATAAACGTAGTAATTCTCTCTCGCTCTCTTTTTTTTTTTTAATAGTTTTTCACTTTCTTCCTTTGGTGCCTCCCAATTAATGTTGACTTTACGCGTTATATGGAATGTAAATATTGGACTCAGTGTCACATGGAATGCAATTTAACTACTAACACACAAATTTGGTAAATAATAATATTAGGCTATGATAACGGTGATGGGTCTTCAATATTCCTCCGAATTTGGAGGTCTTTGGGGTCTTCTAGTTCTATCCAACCAAGCTATGAGGAAGCATGAATAAATCGTGTATGGTGATCCCAGGTTTCAACTCCTTTTGAAGCTTGGGTTTATATTTCTGGGGGCTACTTTTTAAGGATTGTAAAATTATAGGCTTACAATATAGTTACTACAAGTAAGGGGTCACTTAGAAAATGATGGCGCATCATCCATGTGATGCCATCATGATCGCATACTTTCTTGGTCCCCCCCTGTGCCCCCACCCCCTCCCTCCCCTTCCCCGTACTTCAGAAAATGATGGCGCAGGATACAAATTAATTCTGTTTTATTGAATAAATTAGATATTCCATGGGGTCATTTCAGATTTCAAGGAGGGATTAGGACAAGGCCAATCTCCTCATCAGGCTAGGAAAAACATCTATTATGAAATATTGATGCTTTGCAATTATGATAATATGCCATGATTGACGGTGGTATTACCGTTAATGCTGATTTTACGTGTTATATGGAATGTAATATTGGACTGTGTGTCACATGGAATGCACTCAAAATTCACTTTCATTATCATGTGTGTAAAGAGACAAAGAAAATGTGAAAAGAGAAAATCATTTATTTTTCTATTTTTGTCTCTTATATACATGTCATAATGAGAGTAAAACAGTCATAAAAAGTATGCTCCTAACACTCTTAAATAAATGATAATATGCCATGATTGATGGTGGTATTACCGTTTTACAGGTCCATTGTTAAATAAAATTTGTAAGTTTATCTTTATGGTATTATTAAGTTAATGCGTTGGTTAATATAGACATTGTTATTAAGTAAACATTTTACAGACTGCATTTTCTTAGCTCAAAAGAGACCATTAATTTGCTACCATTAAATTGTGGGATATAAAGAGGGTGAGCAAAAGACAATTAATTCTTGAATTACATACAATATAGGGTTCATGCCACTTTAATAAATCTTTGAATATTAATCTTTTACATTTGTAAAACCAGCCAAGCAAATTAACATAGTGTATGAGCTAAAAATCGTATTAGATCTGACGAGGTCCAATAACATCATAAATATGACATGGCCCAAGGCCTTGGCCTAATTCCGATCGAGCCCACGCTTAAACTACCTTGTGAATTGTCTGCTTAATGAGTTGGGCTACTTTACGAGTTAGGCTGAACTGGTCAGGCCCATTCGCCCACAGTAGTCCATAATAGGGACCTGAGTTCTAGCCAATTTCCTCTTCTAATAAGATCTTAGATCCTACCCAAAGAGGAAAACCTGAACCAATAAAGGCAGGAAATCTAACCTTATTCCAAAGGGAGAACTCCGAGTCCTACTAGGAATCAGACCCTTCGGGCTCACTATATAAACAGAGGCAAACTCTCACATTAGGGATTGAGAAATCACCCCTAAGTTATAGTATTCTCACTCCCAAGCTCTTAGCATATTCTGACAACATTCAGATGTTACTAAAGCCCCCTCAACCGCAAGGGAATACTCGGCAGGTTCATCATGATTGTCAATGGTTTACACCACAAGATTATGTCTTTACAAGTTTAATTGTAAATTTTATCATTTACACAAAGAACATGTATATATCTCAAGTAATTGATCAAACAACATTACAAGAACCACACAACTCAAGCAACACCAATCCATAGCAATAACATCGTTCCCACACATGTAGGGCTAGTGTTGTCTTCAACTCATAGTGTCTATAGAGCTAGTTTTGCTCCATTTGTCTTGTCGTTTACATCAGCATTACAATCATACATATTACAAGGAGAATAATGATGTTCATTTATTTCATTTTGTAAGGGGCAAATCGAAAAATTGGTCTTCTCACACTTAAAATTTTAAACTGTCTTCATGGTCAACTTCTTCACTTTTGAAAAACAACGAAACAGGGGTAAATTTCTCTTTAATTTTATATTGTCCTTTATCATGCAACGGCTTATTGATGGCGTGTCATGGTTGGGGAGGAACTTGATACATTTCAGATTCAATGGGGGTAAGGCAATTCAAAACTGCATATTTTCTGAAACAGTCGGGGGCAAAGGTGATAATTTAATTTGAAATAAAGTAGAATATTCCTTGGGGTCATCTTAGATTTTTAGGAGGAATTAGGACAAAGCTTATCACCTCATAGGACAAGGAAAAACATCTATTATGAATTATTGGCGCTTTGCAATTATGATAGTTCCTCAATACTCCGCAGAAAATGTATCAGGTCAAATTGAGTTGAACATTAGCACGTGATAAACATCCATATGTAATATCAAAATAACCAAGAATAAAATGAAATTTACACTTACAGAGTTTCTAGACATGGCAAGTTGGTGGAGTTTGGGAAAGCAAAACCGATGCTTTTCAGATCACTAACTTGTTTGGAATAAACAAAGGCATTCAATAGTATTGAACGTAAGTATAAAGAGTTCGTTTAAAAATTCTATAAAGATATTTAATACTTTTCTACTGAGAGTGAGTTTGATATAAATAGTCACTGTAAAATTTATAATAAGATTTACACACTACGCCATGAAAAGTTGGTCTCAATAATGTTATATTTTCATATGTAGAATAATTAGATATAAAAATAACAACAAATGCTTGTTAATAATACAAAGTTGGGTGGCTTGAAACATTTAAAATTCGACAAGTTTGTTTTTAGTTTTATCATATTTTGTGGTGAGGATTTTGTAATGAGTATGTGTATTTATCCACCCATTCATACATAGTTCTATCTATGATATCAATCGCAACTCGGTCGGGCCAGCAGTATTATCGTTACTAGAAGTACACTCCACTTTTGTCTCTATTTATGGTTGATAACAAGGAATATGGACTACTTAGATCTCCATTATCCTGCAGCCTTCATAGTTAATCTTGAAAGGATTATTAATACCTCATAGGACAAGGAAAAACATCTATTGTGAATTATTGGCGTTTTGCAATTATGATGGATCAAAATTAAGGATATGAAAGAAAATGTGATGTGTGTTTACCATGTCTCTTTTACACTCTCTTTCGCTTTATGATGTGTGTAAAAAGATAAAGAAAATATGAAAAGAAAAAATTATTTATTTTTATAATTTTGTCTTTTGTACACACCTATAACAATAAAAGTAAAGGAGTAAGAAAAAGTGTGCTCCTACCACTTTTAAATTGATCAGTATTAAAGATGTGAAATGAAATTGCTGAGAGAGAAAGCAATGTGAAAGTCGACGTAAAGTTTTTTTTATAAGAAAGACTATAGAGTAGACAAATTCTGGAATCCAACCACATGCAGAAATCGAGGTCATTATCTAAGAGTGTGGACGGGGTAGTCATGAAAGCCACCATACGATTGTGAAGAAGGATAAAATTGTGCAACATTATTAGCAAATAATGCGTGTGCAGATTCATTTCCAGTTGATCACAAGGAGATATTAGGTGGTGCTGAAGTTAAGGAATTCACAACAGGATTAAGGAGAGGAGTTAGATTAAATCCAGGAGCTGCATTAAGGGCTGGATTAAAACTAGAGGTTGTATTATAACAAGGAGCTGCAAATCCTTGGTATCCATGATAAAAACAATGATAACATTGGAGGGCTGAGTGCCCTGTCTTTCCACAGACCGACAGATTAACTTTAGCCTGAAATAGCCTCCTCTTCCTCGACCTCCGCCCCTTATTACATTAGTATTGAACATTTGTGCATTGGGAGTAAAAAGATGAGAGGCCTTTATATATGGAGATCTAACATTTCCTCCTCCCAAACTTCCTGAATTTCCAATACTAGTAGGTCCCAGAGTACCACCAGCTAAAAAATTCTAAGGATAAGAGCCCATTTGGTGATATGGAGCCAAATTTGATTGAATTACAATGGTTGGGTGCTCAGATTGATTGAATTGAGATAGGCTAGTAGGATTTTGTTTGGAAGCTATCAATGTAGAAGTCAAGTGATCATGAAAGTTCAGATGTGCACTGTCTGCTTTTCTAGATGCATCTCATGTTTATGGAGTACAACTAGTGCCTCTTGGAGAGTTACATGATTGATAGTAAAGGTCAAACTTGCCACTACACCATCATACTCTGGTCCTAGACCATCGAGTATATATAAGAGAAGTTCCTCATCTCCGATTTGTACACCACTAGCTATCAATTCATTACCCAACTCTCTCATTCGTAAAACATATTCATTAATAGTTAAAGAATGCTTCTTTATTGTTTGTAATAGATTTCTTAAATGTAGAGTCTGTGCCTTTGAGAAGGATTGAAAGTGTAGCTCTAATGTGTTCCGTGGGAAAATGAGAGAATTTGAGAGAGTAATTGAAAGGAGCAATAACGAAATTGTCTTCTTAACAGAAATTTTATACAGTTAGGGCAGATACTTCCCTTTTTATACAACTATTCTTTACAAAATGACAGTGCTTTAGCACATATTAAAACAACCCCGTTTCTTGCATTTTATATTTTTATAACCAACATTCCCTCTCAAATAGAACCGTATGGTTTGGCTTGATCTTCCTTTCAATTGCTCTATGGCTAATATGCTCCCTCAAACAAGGCCACGTAGCTTATGCTAATTTTTCATGATAACACCTGGTATTTCAATAAGGACATTTAGAGCCAAAAAACCTGCCTATCTCAAATCCAAAAAATTTAGTAGTGCACAGCCAACATGAGAGAGAACACACATAGACACAACACTTAGCATTATAC